AATATAAACCCTGAATTTCACATGTACATTAACTTCCCATTATCCTCACCAAGGGGCCAATAAAAATACAAAGCTCTGAAAGTTGAAGACTAAAACATTCATGATCGTATACACTTTAAGACTTTACTGGTGAACGTCATAAAGTTCTCATAAATGCACTACTCTGTCTGCATGTGCTGACTCTGCAGAGAGAATATTTAATGAGAGGTGACATGAAAGTAACAGAACGGCAGACAGCCACACTGCTAGGTGGTGAGAATTATAATAAAATATAAATTATAGTCATGCGTACAGTTTAGGACACGTGAAGTGCTATTACATGATTCCCAATACGTTCAGCCAAGCAGCCAGTGAGGCTTTCTAATATAAATACGGAGTTGATACCATTTAAATCATGCTCGGCCTGCACAGGGATTTTTGTGGGCTAAAGGAAATATTGGTACACGTGATCCTCTGTGCCAGTAGCGCTCACTGAAGGGAGACAAATGAAAGGAAAAAGAAACCCACAGCACATAGGCATGGAGCTGCATTCTTCCAAAACACCAATAATTTGGTGTTTTGGGTGCTGAGAGCACAATTCAACATGTCGGTGCGCAATCTATCGTAGGTGTTCAGACAGGAAAGACAACGGATCATAGGATAAAGGAGATCACTCAGAAACTGATTTTATATAGTTGTTTCATTAAACAATGTTTGTTCTTCTTAAAGCTCAGTGATCCATGATTGTGTTACTATTTTTAACATTTTCACTTACGAAGTTTTTTTTTCCTGCTTGTCATGTTTTTCCATTTAGTGAAAGTTCAAATTCATAACTATCTTTATACTTAATGTTAGAAGTGCAAATCTTTTTACTGCCTCCAAAAGATGAAAATCTGACAAAGAAAAAAAAAGTAATAAAATCACTTAATTTAAACACAAGCTACTTGTTGATTTCAGTGCACGTCCCAATCAGTGCACTGAAACACGGGCGTCCCATGAGTATGTTTCCTTTCAATACTTTAAGTATATATTGATGCTGAATCTTTTGTACCAGGAGGATATACAGGATTGTAAGTTAACTTAGGAAGAAATCTTTATTTCACCACTTTGTAGACCACTCTACCATTTCAATAATACATCTGTATGAGGGCACAGGGCTACACGGGAGATGAGAATCATACATAGCACAAAAGTTTCTAATAAAATATTTTAATCTAATTTAATTTTAATTTATTCATTTTAAATGCTGAAAATACCCCAGATCCCTTAACTTTAGAGGGGGTTCGGGTTTTTCCTTTAATTTGTCTCTCCTTCGTAAACACAGATGTTCATGCTGTTGTAAAAATAAACACGTTTCTTTTGTTTATTTGAGTTTAAATTGCTTTCTTGAGCTTTCAGAAGTGGATCCAGGTGTTGTGTGAGAGACTGGACTGGATTTACAAGCGTGTAAGTTTCAGAGAGCTTTGTGCTTCACCCTTTGGATTGCGTTAGCTTTTTTGGCACGAGGAGAGCGGAAATGGGCAGTACACTTTGGGAAGCAGAGGGTCTAATGTGCGCGTGCTGAGCCACACTCCTCAGAGGAGCTCGCGACCACTTCGCAGCAGCATGAGGACGTGAGCAGGTCGGAAGGAGCGGCTCCTGAGTCCCGACGTGCCTCTTCTTCCTCGATCACGCCAGCGCGCTCAAACTGTGGCCGGCCTCAGCTCTGAAACCTCGGCACACCACAGAGCCAGCGGCGCGCGGCCGCTCCGCGTGTGCTCCTCCGTGGCAGCAATGATGCTCGCGCTCACCTTCACCTGCCGCGCGCTGCTCCTCTTCTTGCTCTCGGAGTCGGTTCAGACCGACAAGACGGCGGTAAGACCCGAACTCTCATTTCTCTGGCAGTTCTGTAACAGCAGCGGTGCAGGCGCAAACATGTCTGAAAAAATAAGGTTTCACTTTATCAGAGCGCGTTCACGGGTCACGCTAACGTTCCTGATTGGACACAGAGCGGTTAATGCGTTACTGGACTAATGGACCGGACCACAGTTATAATAATGTGTTGTTCTGTTCTGCTTCGACTTCCCTGTACATTCGTGTCTTGTCTTCGATCCTCAAACTAGTAACTGTAACCTAGCTAAGTAAACTAACCCACTTATTCTAAACTTTGTTAAACTTTTACACAAATGGACAAAAACAGAGTTTCCCGTAAACAGAAACAAAATCTAAAGGTGTATTTTTGAGAAAAATAAACTAAAACTGCAGTAACGTTATGTCTGTCTAAGAGCTACCAAAGTGAGTTGTATCACATAAACAACACACGTTAAAGATGAAAAGTGAACAAAACTAACCGCACAGCAGGATTTCATGTGATGTTATGATTTTAAATAGGATCTAAAGATGAAAATGTATGAATTTATAATTGATGCACATTTAAGCAGATAACTTCCACAATACGAGACTCACAAAGTAACCTTATATTAGACCGAATTATCAGCTCCTCACAGGTGAATGCAAAGGACAGAAAACAGATCAAGTGCAGTCATATAAATATCTTTCAACCATAATCAATGAAACACTCAATTTTCACGAGAATTGCAAATCGGTCTGCAAAAAGGTCGCCGCGCCTTTACAGCCTCAGGAAACTCGATCATTTTCACACTGACTGAACAATCTGAACTTTGTTTTATTTTATATTTAGTCTGCTTTTATCTTTTTGCTTGGTGGCATGGTTCGTTCAGACCTGAATCAGATAGTGAGATGCTCCAGTCGTCTGATAGGTGAGTCACAGCCCTGTTTAGCCTCCCTGTACTCTAAACATGTACGACAGATGGCTTTAACAATTCTGAATAATGGTTCCCATCGGCTACGGGGTGAATTTTTCTTTTTAAATTTAAATTAAAGAAAAAGTTTCTTTTATCTTGTCTACTTACCAAATATATGTCTATCAGGTAGGACTAAGGACCCTGAAGTGTGCCGTGAAAACATCCCCCACACCATTACACCTTTGCCACCAGCCTGAACTATTGATATGAAGCAGCTTCCCTTTTCTTTATTGTTGACCCTACCATCTGTAGAAATTGAGACCCAACAGATCAGATGACATTTTCCAGTCTTCTGTTCTTCTGGAGAGTTTTCTGCTCTTAGCTGGC